TCTTTATCTTAATGCAACATGTGGCAATATTTGTGTTAGACAACAAAATTTGTTTAGTGAAAAGTATTTATATTTTTGACAAGACGATTGTTTACTAGTAATTTTTGACGAAATCAAATTTTCTTACTTATCCTTATGAATCAAGTCTGTTAGAAATATTTTGCATTAAATTTAGAAAAAGTTGAACATGTTGCAATTTTAAATGACAATTTTCTCCAGTGTATCTTGCTGCACTTGTTATAGTTTGTTAAAGTTTGTACATTGTTTATTTTTGTTTTTGATAACAAAAGTGATTTATTATTTATTTTATTGTTTATTATGTTGTGTCTCAAGTGTTTTCTTTTAATAATAACATTGTTATATGAATATGCGAACGATAAATAAGTTTTATTATATTGTTAAATTTATTGATGAAAAAAAAATTCAGAGGCTGTTTTTCATGTAAAACGGATCTCAATCAATCAATATATTTTTCGATAAAAGATCTTACAATTGAGGTCATTTACAAATAGTTAAAAACTTATCTTAAGTAAATACTATAACAATTACTGCAAAAAAAAGTAACTATAATTTAATAAAAATAATAATCCTAATATCAATAACCATAATAAAACGATAAAAATAAAATAGTTACTTTCTTTAAAAATAACAATAATTAAACTAAACAAAAAATATTAAATTAAAACTATAGAGTTTTTATAAAAAATGAAAATATAAAAATAAAAAAGTAAATCATATCAAGCAAACACATATCGTCACTCCAAAATAATAAAATTAAAAAAATATATATATATATATTTTCCGAAAATGGAGCAATTTTTATTTTTTATTTTAATTCCTTTTTAACTACTTTTCATTTTCAAATGCATTTTTTCTTTTGATTTTTTTTTTTTTTTTTTTTCATTTTTTCTTTTCTCGTTTTTTTTTTTCTTATGTTAATTTGTTTTTTTAATTTTTTTTTTAGTTAGATAACAAAATGGTATTTATGGATGGTCCTTTAAGACTCACCACAGTTACCATTAAAAAATAAAGATTATATGCATGTAATGATTATATGAATGATTAGATTGACTAGATTAACTCTGGTAAGTTGTTTTATGTATATTTTTAGAAATATTTATTTTTTATATATAATTTTTTTTTTTGTTTGTTTTTTATTTTGAAGTATTTTTCTAACATTTCTTTACTATTTTGATTTTTTTAGTTACATACGACTAAACAGTAGAAAAATTACCTGTGGCAAAAGTTTATTCAGACTTTTTTTCAATTAACGACAGTAAGACCTGATAAATTTAGAAGTAAACAGATTTCAGAAAAGTTGTTGTTCTACCAGGTGATGATCATGATGATTGTGATGATGATATGATATACGTGATAATGATGAGCATATGTAATTTAGATAATGATCGTCATATCTTGATGTTGGTTCACTTTTAGTATTTTATAGAAACGTATATTATCACAAAATTGTAGATTTAAGTTCAGAAACTCACTCTACAGTTACTTAAAAAAAAGAAAGTTGTTAATAAAAAAAAAAGAGACTTGCTCCAGCCCTATTCCTCCTTTGACACCCTTATGTATTGAAAATTTGACTTTTTCAAATCATTTAAAAATAAATAACTTTATTAAACAAGGCTCTGTTAATGAAGTTTTAGAAGATGTGTTTTTAAACTTTTTTCATTTCAATATTCTTTTTTCTTTTTGTAACTAAATTCTAAAATGTTCTAAAACAATCATTTAATTTGTTTATGTAAATAGTACACAAATATGCATGAAAATTTATCAAGTTAATTTGATGGCAACTTAACTGCGTGCTGATCAGTTGCTGGATGAATTAAAGCTCTCATAACTTCATAAATCAGTATTGCATCATCAGTTGCATCTAATGCTAAAATTGAAGCACATAGTAAGCATTAGTAAATTGAACTTAACTGTTTCATTATTGTTAATTTTTTGTTATTTTAGTTTTTGGGGTCTTAAGTGACATCCAATGAATGTTTATCTGTGAGATGGTTTCTTGCGAATGTGAGCAAAAAAACACTTAATAGCATTGGTTAATAGTGATCTCGCAATCTACTCTTAGAGTTATTTTTATATAATTTTTTTTTTCGATAATAATATGAATTTGTCTTATGTTTAAATATTGTTTTAAATTTTATATCTAGTGTTGTTTCGTTAAATACAAAAGGATTGAGGTGCAGAATATAAAAAAAAAGTTTTTTCAATTATCCTAACGTTTATGTATTTGAGTGTAATGAACATTTTAATCATATATTTTAGTTTAATTGTTTACTATTTTTCACACAGTTCAACTTTGTGTTAATTAGATGCTGTGAAAATAAAAGCTTTAACCTCAGGAGCATCAGGAGAAGAGTTTAAACATTAACTGAAGAGATGTTTTTTGCTTTTTGGGGATCAAATTGGCGGGCGAAAAGCTCGAGATTCACGTTCTTTGTATAAAAAGTTATTTACATATTCAACAATTTGAACTTTTAATAAAATTTTTTTATTTTTTATTTCATTGCTTTTTAACTCACTTTTGGTTGGGAATAAATTTCGAAAATAATTAATTATTTTTAAAGAAACAGCTAATAATAACGTCCAAATGCATTAGTAAAAAGTAACGCCTTAGTAATTACACGCGACCACAAACAAATGTTGGAAAATGACTACAAACTAGTACTGGTAATAGATAATGGGCCAGTGCTGGTAAGCGATCGCGGGACAGTGCTGGCAAATGATCCTGGGCCAGTGCTGGCAAACGATCGCAGGCCAGTACTGGCGAATGATTGCGAGCCAATGCTGGCCCATGACAGGCCAGTGCTGGCCCAATGGCCGTATCAATGCAGGCCCGTGATCGACAGCCATCATCGCGCTAGAGTCGCAAGCGGAACTGGGCTAGCATTGGACCGCTAGCGGGAGGCTGTCTGGGTTCATTTTTAATGGTATATTGTACAATTTGAGAAAAAAACAATTATGTAAAAGTTGAATACCCTTTTTTTTCTAATTATTGTAGTGCGACTTTAATGTTTTTTAAGCAGTCAATTTTTTATTTTTTATATAGTTACAAACAACCCAGTACCCAATCAGCAGTATATTAATGGGCCAGAGCTGGCGAACAAGGTCCGGCAAAACACATGTGATCCAGTTAAGGGCCTTAGCTGGCGAACCAGAACTAGCGGACCATAAGCGTATCATTGCCGGAGCATTGCCGGACCATAAGCGTATCATTAATGGCTCGCCAATGGTAAAAAAATGCATGGCGCAAAATGTTTTTTTTGTTGATGCAAATTTTACGGAGAGAAAAATATATTTATGTTTTCATTCAAGCAATTGCAAAAAACATGGGTTGAGCACTTCAGATAATAAACCTTCGAACACCACTGATCTGTATAATAACCTCAATATTTCGTATCAAATTGATAATGAAATTAATGAATTTAAAGCTTTATCTGATAACGATTCAAATATAACTGATAAGAATATTGTAATAGATGAACTAGAGGGAGATTTAGCATTTTGATCTTTTCAACATAATATCACACAAGAATTCACTGATTTAATTTGCTGATCAATGACCAGAGCTGCTTAAATGTTAATGCATCCTAAAATTTTATTTAAATTTGTTTTTTTATGTATTTAAATAAAATTCATTATATATATGTATTTTTTATAATATATTTTATATGATCTCATAATCATTGTCATCATCTCCCACCTTTATTTTCCTTTAATCTATATATTTATTCAACCTTAATTATATTTCTTTATAATTTCTTTATTTTTAATTTAGCATTGAGTAAAACAAGTACTTCACTAAGTTTTATTTATTATTTTTTGACTAAAGTATACATTTTGTATTTCATGTATACTTTTTAATTTATATTTTAAGGTGTTTATAATATTGTTAATGCCATATGGGCAATATTTCAGATTTATATGTTTCTTGTACTTTTATGTAACAAATGCCCAATAAGTTATATTTTAAATTTGTTCATAATCTTTAAATACACGGTTATATTAATTGTTTAAATTACTCTTTATATCACGTGTTTTAATTATAGTTTTTCGAATGAAATCTTCTTCCTTGACGCATTTAAAAATCTACATGATACATTTAAACTTCAAAACGACACATTTAACCATCAAAACATCCGTTATGTCGTGGTCGTGAAATAAAAAACATAGCATTTTTTTTCCTGATAAGGAAAAAAACATCATCTACATATGCATAAAAAAAATGACGAAAGGAAGATGTTTTTTTTAAATGCATTACATTGTCTGTTAATTTAAGTTAAAAAAATCTATTCCTAATACTAAAATTTAAATATTTTTGAATTACGGCAATCTTTTATGGAATGACCCTTAATGAAGTTTTTCCGAAAGATTGTCATAAAAAAAGCATTGAACCGCAAAAAAAAAAAAAAAAAAAATTATTTTTAATTTTTTTTTTTTTAAAAAAAAAAAGACTTTAATTTATATATGATTTAAAATAATTATATTTAGCATAAATGAAATTTAAAATAGTAAAATACTGAGTTTTAAATTTTAGATTTAGTTTTTATTAGAGAAATTTTTTTTTATTATTATCCGACTAATTCATTACGTGAAACATGCCATGCCTTCATAGATTATAATATGCAAAAAATAATTTTTAAAGAACTCTTCGAGAATGCATTCAAGTTATAAAAATCTTAATAATTCAATAACGTAAAATATTCTTTTGATGTGATAGATTTATGAACATAAATTACGTTTATCTTATTAAAACTGATAAAATCAATTTTTAAACTGTTTACAATCTGTACAAAAAATATTAAAAACATTAACTATAAAGTTTAATAATCTTTTTCAAATACTGATTTAAATATTATTTAAAAACTGAAGATAGATTAAATTAAAATATAAATTAATTGTTTAAAAAAAAATTTTTTACAACGCGGTACAAAAAATTAATAGTTTTCAGGCTCCTGCAACAAATAAGATCATAATATTTACTATTCATAAAAAGCGAAGGGTTTTAAAGTATTTGCAAATTGTTCTTTTATTATTGTCAAGTTATTGGAGTTGTAAAAAGAACGTCATTTTTTTTAATAAACGCTCAATTCAAGTGAGAAAACTAATTGGGTATATATTGGTATGTGTTTTATCTGTAGAAAATTAAATGTTATCAAAACTTTACAATATAACTATTATTTACGCAATGTATTCCAAGTCTGCATTTAGCACTGCTAGGAAAAATAAATACAATATGCAAGAACTTTGCTAAATTTAAATATGTTTATAAAAAAGAACGAGAGGCAACTCAAAATTAACGAGTTGATTACTTTTAGTTGCCTATTTAACTAGTAACAAAAAGTACAAGTATACGCCCCTGTATACTTGTATATATATATATATATATATATATATATATATATATATATATATATATATATATATATATATATATATATATATATATATATATATATATATATATATATATATATATATATATATATATATATATATATATATATATATATATATATATATATATATATATATATATATATATAATATCAAAGCAAATTTAAACATTTATTCATATTCCTTGTAGCAGCAGGCTAATAAATAGTCGATTTAGTAATATTCCTCGCTGTGTTACAGTAAAAATAAATTAAATAAAAAAACTTCGAGGAAGAAAAAAAAAAGTATTAAGTATATTTTTAAAAACATTTAAAATGATTTAAATGTTTTTAAAAATAATGAAAACGTTTTAATTTGCGTGTTTGTGGGTTTTTTAAAAAAAAATAAAAAAATAAGTTCCTCAATAAACGAATGCGTTTTGTTGTAAATTAATCTTAATTTTGTCAATTTAGATACATAAAGCAGCTATGTTTAGCTATGTATATATATATATATATATATATATATATATATATATATATATATATATATATATATATATATATATATATATATATATACATAGCTAAACATAGCTGCTTTATGTATCTAAATTGACAAAATTAAGATTAATTTACAACAAAACGCATTCGTTTATTGAGGAACTTTTTTTTTTTTTTTTTTATTTAAAAACCCACAAACACGCAAATTAAAACGTTTTCATACTTTTTAAATCATTTTAAATGTTTTTAAAAATATACTTAATACTTTTTTTTTTCTTCCTCGAAGTTTTTTTATTTAATTTATTTTTAAATAAAATATATATATATATATATATATATATATATATATATATATATATATATATATATATATATATATATATATATATATATATATATATATATATATATTATATATATATATATATATATATATACATTTATATTTATATATATATATAAATGTATATATATATATATATATACATTATATATATATATATATATACATATATATATATATATATATATATATATATATATATATATATATATATATGTATATATATATATATATATATATATGTATATATATATATACATATGTATATATACAAAATACTTAGCTTTTACTAAAGTTTTTGTTTATTAAATAGAAATGTAATGCAGAATACAAATATTGTGCTTTACTTATAACGACCTTGCACGATCATAGCGACAAACATACTTATTGAGTATGACAAACATACTTGTTATTGAGTATGACAAACATAAAACATAAACTAAAACATGTTAAATAACTCACTAAAATAAAACATGTTCAATTGCTTGTTGATAAAAAATAAATAAATAAAAAAAGAATTAAATATATACATATACTAATATAGATAAGGGATATTCAAAAGTTTAAAAGTAGATTAGTATATTTTCAGTTGAAAAAATGAGTTTTTTAAGATTTTGTTTAAAAGAATCAAAATTGCATTATTAATTGAGAAAAATCTTTAGAAGTATTTAGAACTATACTATTCCATAAAAATGGTCCGCGAAATGCTTTCATATCTTATTAAAGAGGCTTGGCGTGAGCAAAACGGTCCTTAAAATTTATAAGGCGTGCTACATGCTTCTGTTGCCGATAGAGAGGTTTAAGTTTACTTTTATAAGTGATACCCCAAGCAATATATGCATAGTTGTTATGGCAATGAATTAACGAATAATATAATAATTGAATTAAGGTATTTTTATCAAGAACGTTTCTTATTTTGTATAATGTGCCTATACTTTTTGAAATTTTACTGCACAAGTTAGCAATGTGGCATTTCCATGTAAGATTTTCATCGATATATACACCTAAAAATCTTGTCACTAAAACTCTGTTAATAACTATGTTATCAATAAATAAAAACAAAAGGTAAGTTGCTAGGCAGCTAGTGCTTTTTACCATAAGGATGAAAAAGAATCCATTTAGTTTTATCAATATTTAGTGAGAGTTTGTTTATTCTAAACCATTCCGAAATTTTGACTAGTTTTTGTTCGTATTGCTAGAAAGTGTAACAATGTTATTATGAGAAAGAAATAGGTTAGAATCATCAACAAACATAATTGTCATTAGGTTAGAAGCTTTTGGTAGATCATTAATATATATTAAAAATAGGAGAGTTTCTTGTAAGTATCCTTGTATGTGTGGTTGTGTATCCTTCTATGTATGGTTTGTATCCTTGTATGTATGGTATGTATGTATCTTGTATGTATGGTATGAATATATGTATCTTGTATGTATCTTGTTTGTATCTTGCATGTATGGTATTGTATCCTTGTATTTATGGTATGTATCCTTGTATGTATGGTATGTATGTACCTTGTATGGTATGTATGTATGTATGTATGATATGTATGTATGGTATGTATCCTTGTATGTGTGGTATGTATGTATCCTTGTATGTATGTTATGCATCCTTGTATGTATGGTCTGTATGTATTGCATGTATCCTTGTATGTATCCTTGTATGTATGGATCCTTGAGGGACTCCACATGAAATATTTAACAAACTAGATGATACGTTATCATCCGCATAAACAAATTGTTTTCGATAAATTAGGTAACTTTTTAGCCAAACTAGTATTTTTCCAGTAATTCTGTACCACTCCAACTTGTGAAATAGGACGATAGTTACTTATATTCTCAATATCACCACTTTTTAATACTGGTATGACTTTTTTAGACTTTAATACTGGTATGACTAATTTTAGAACTTGTAGAAAAATTCCCTGTTTAATTGATATTGAAAAAATTTTAAAGAGTGTATCTTTTAGAACATCAAATGACCTTATAATAATGTTGCCATTAATACCATCAGAGCGTAATGCTTTGTTAGATTTTAATATTTTAAAGGCATTTTCAAACTCTTTAAAAGATAATTTAAAAGAGATCAAGTAGCAGTTTAGATGGAAACATAGATCAGGCGTTAGAGGGAAACATAGAAAAGCGTTTAAAGGGAAAAATAGAAAGGCGTTAACATTTTAGATTCTAAAAAGACATGTTTGTGCTGACTGGTTATGACAATATGGAAGAGTAAAAGTAGTTGGTTATAAATAGATGCAATTCAATTTGTTTTATAAAACTTATACACTACATCTTTGTCATTATCTGTAATAAGATTGCCGCTGTAAGTTGTTTGTGATCATCTCCTCCAATCGAAGCAAGAAAGTTCATCCAAAATAAAAAAAATGTAATATAATTGGTTGTATTCAAAGTTTATTGGTTCCTCTAATGTGAATGTTTTAGACGCGTTTCCATTATGTGATATTCTTATGAAAATCCCAACCAATATAAACACGTTTTTTAGACGTTTTTTTATTTGCGTTTAAAATATTAACACTTTTTAGATGTCTAAATTTAGATAAATATAAGAAATCTAATAGTAGTCATCTTTTAGACGGTTTGAGACAGCAATTATTCGTCGTCTCAAAGATAAATACAATCAAATGTCCTATAGTTATCTGAACGTAGACGTCTAAAGGCGTTAACATTTTAAATTCTAAAAAGACATGTTTATGCTGACTAGTTATGACATGTTGGAAGAGTAAAAGTAGTTGGTTATAAATAGATGCAATTCAATAGATGGAATTCAATAGATGCAATTCAATTTATTTTATAAAACTTATATGATGTAACACTAGGAAGAATACCATCCAGAATTTCATACCGGTTTGTGAGCTTCTCCTACCTTTGACCAGAATTACACAGTAGTATAAAATTCTCCAAGATATGTTGTATTTGCCACAGCAAAAAGCTGTATAAAAACTCGGAACTGTTTCCAAAAACTATTAACTAATATTAAATCACTGATAGACACTACCAATTCATAACGTGTCTTTGTTACATAATTTTTCTACTAGGTTTAAAAGCTCTTTGTTCATTGTTAACCGGCAAATAAATTCAACAAATTGAAAGAGATGGTCAAGCAAAGCACTGATGGAAACACTTAAACCTAAAATTTTCTATATAAGGTTCGCCACTAGGTCAAGTAAGTTTAGTCACTAGTGGAACAATTTAGCCGTAAATGTCTTGGAGAAAAAAAGTTTTAATTTAAGAGTTATACTATTTAAACAGATGTTCAGTGTTAAAGCAGGTAGTTAAAAGAAGAATGTGAGAACAGCATATCCGTCTTTTTACTTAATTTTAATCTAAATCTTAATTATTTATTTTATTAAGTTTAAATAGAGTTGTTTGTGTTATGTTTAGTTTCCATTTATTTTTTATATGATTTTATGAGATTCTTAGTTTTATATTTATATTATAGCTAACTTTTGTATATTTTAGAATAAATATCCGTTTTAGTTTTAAATTAGTTTATACGAATATTAGTAATACGATTCGTTTTGTATTTAGTTGTTACTTAGTTCAACTAATATGACTCATGGTATGCTTGAGAATAATAATATTGATATGGTTAGATAGAATAGTTTGTGTTATGATTAATTTTCATTTACTTGATATGGTTTAATGTGATTTTCAGTTTTATATTTAACTTATAACTAACCTTTGTATACTTAGGTTAAATTAAATGGTGTAATTTTTAACTTAATTTACTTAATGATATTATTAGTAAAATAATTCGTTTCACATTTTGTTTCTACTTGATTTATTTTGTATGGTTTAATTAGGTCAATTGTTTTATATTTAGTTTATACGCAAATTAATATATACGTTTTAGTATAGTTATTATTTTAGTATTAAGTTTAAGTTTAGTTCAAATTAATACGGTGTATTACAGATATTCGTTTCATATTAAATTTATACTGTTCCAGTTATACGGTTTAGTGATGTTTTTTGATTTGTTTTTAACTTATATTTATTTGAAGTATAAAAGGCTTATTAAAATAACTCGTTTTAACTTTTGTTTATACTTAAATTACGTTTATACGGTGTGGTACAGCTGCTCGTTTTACATTTAGCTTATATGTATTTAAGTTTAATTAAAGTGGTTTAAGCTGGAGACATAGATAATTCTTCTTCCTCACTATCAACAGACGTTTCAACGCTTGATGTAAAACCTAACGTTTCTATCCGTTCTAAAGCAGTTTCATAACTGTCAAAAAAAAACTTAACGAAAAGATGAATCCATACTAAACAATAAACAGTTATTATATTTGAATCAGATATAGCTGTTTAGATTATTAGCATCTTGCACATGTGTAACTTAAAATTAAACATGCAAAAACAATATTGTAAGTAAGACAATTACCAAAATAATAAAAAAACTCTTATTTTCAGACAATTTATATTCATGGCACACATGTTGTTTTTCAATAAAAAATTCAGCCAGAGCAAATCTATGTTTTATTGCCACCTTCAGTGTAATGATACAATAGCTTAAAAAATCATACCAGATAAACATGTAATATAAAAAAACTTCAGTTTAACTTTTTTTTTTACAATATTAGTCTAAAATTTATTGGGTTTGACTTCTTAATGTAATAAGTATTCGCTTTTTATTTCAAGTAGATTTTCATTACTGGTTAGTAAAAGAAAGTGAATTTTAAAGTTTGTGTGGTTTGGAAAGGTTTCTATAAGAATATTTTCTTATTTAAATATGACATTAAGGAAGACCCACTCAATATTTTCATACGGGTAACGTACGGGACCCATGCGGGTTGTCAAATGGGTCCCGTTTAAGAACGCCAACGGTATCCCGCCAGAATTTAGCCGCGGTTTCTATATGGGTCCCATACGGCTAAGCTTGCTGGGTATCCCGTATGAGTTCCAGTCAAATCCCGTACTTTAAAACTGTTAGGGGCCCATATAGGTTTGCAAATGGGACCCATATGGAAAACCCATCGGGAACCCACCGGATCTTGGCCGCGGTTTTTCTCTAGGGCTCATAAAAGTATGCCGGGTATACCGTGAGGATTCTATGAAGTTTACCCATGGCAGTTCCTGCAAAACTACGTTTTAATATATTTAAAATTGATAGCAAAAGTAAATTTATATATAACTTTTTTGGTCTATTTCAAACAAAATAACTAAATTTTACACTGTCAAAATTAAGTAAACTTTTAAACGATTCTTTATTCGTGTATCGAATGCTTTCACGGTTATCTAGCGAATTGGAAGCTTTTTCATTGTTGTTAAACGACTTCTTTGAAAACTTCTTTACACAATATCTCGTTGTAATATAAGCTGTAAAAAAATTGAATTTAGCTTATATATATATATATATATATATATATATATATATATATATATATATATATATATATATATATATATATATATATGCAAAAGTGTAGTCATTTTCATAAGATTTTGTGATTTTCACAGTTTTACTCGCTATAGTATATTTAAAAATGGTTTAGCCAAAAATCCTGTAAAAACAGATGTTTTGGCTAAACCATTCGCTTTAAGCAACTGGCCCAGTCTTCACTAGAAAAAGTCTAAGTACAGTTGCTTTCCGTTTTTAATATCTTATTAAGGCCATTGTTTTCTTAAAAATATTCTTAAAATGTAAAGTCTTGGAATGTAAATTAATGAAATATGTTGGAGTATTATCTTGCCACACCGCTATTCTTTCTGAACACAAGGCTCACATCAGTTATAACCATTGTGTCCCTTAATACACTTAACAAATGCTCTACCTAGTGCCTCACATATGATAACAGCAAGATTGGTTTTGTACTAAATATTTTCATAGTTAAAATCTATGAAAATATTTAGCAAAAATTAAATACCTTTGCAAAAACTTTAAACTCTACCAAAAAGTTTTGTAGATTTTTAAAAACTGAATTAAATTTTTAGGCAAAACTTTTTAAAAAAATCTCTAAAAACTCTATTTGGGTTCTACAAAAATGTGAGTCCTAGGCCTAGGCACTTACACAAGCATTTATAAACAACAACAACTTTTGGCAAATTTTATTTAAAATTTTTTACATTTAAGATTTTCATTTAATAATTTCCTATATGTTTTTATATGAAATATTTATGAAGTATTATTCTCTTTTACTATCAGCTATAAAGCTGAGTAAACCAGGGTTGGCAAAAACCTAGATTTTTGAGTAAAAGCTCAACTGACTGTGTTTTTTGGTAGGTTTTTAGATGGGTTATTGGGTTTTTGGGTTTTTACTAAAGTTTGGTATAAATCTTTAGTAACAAAGTTTGATAAGTTTATAGTTATTTAAATCCTATTTTTCATTTTTTAAAGTTATGTTGTCTTTTACAAAAGCTTAATTAATAATCAGATTACATTTTTTTCTAATATAAAGCTATTCTTAAATTGAGTTATCTTTCTATTTAAATTTAAAATATATTTAGATTATATTTCTTCATTTGACATTAACATGTCCATATTAAGTAATCAATCAAATTGAGTAATATGTAATAATTGCAAAAAAAGCATAATTAAAAATATAGAGAGAGTTAAGATCCATTTTGATAAATCCAGAAGAAAGAAAACAGAATGTGCTAGCGATTTCACAGAAAAATTTAGCAATCCCAGTAAGCACAAACACGTTTAAAAGACGTTTTAAAGATGTCTTTAAGGAGGTCTAAAAGGCGCACTTGTAGACGTCTAGATCATAAGGCTAAAAGACGTCTAAATGAAGACGTCTTAATAAAAACGCGTTTTAGACGTTTTTTCAAGATGAATTTAAGTACATGACGTTACATTTTTGCGTAGTATGTGGCATATATTCATTGTATTTATAAAATCATATATTGTTATAATAACGTATATACAAAATATACATAGGAACCAGCAATCAAAATAATAATGCTGTAATCACCACAAACGGTTGATGCATCAAGGATGAAAATAATATATAACAATAACAAATATATATCAACACAGGTATTTAAAAGTTTATAACTTGCCTTTAGTTATAATAAAATTTAACATACCTATTGCTAGCTAATTTTTGAGCGCATACTTGAATTATTATATGGCTTGTGGGTGTATAAAAACTAAAAATACTGATATTTAACTTATATATTATTCTTGCCATTTTCACGTATTATCATGATCAGTCAACTATCAATTAAAAAAGCAAAATAATTATTAATAAAAAAAAGATATATTAATATTATAGCAATTATTTTAGTGATTTCTGTGACAACAATTTTAGCAATTGTGTAAAAAAGTAATTTAATTTAAAGTAATTTACACTTAAAACTTAAACAAATTATTGAAAATAATAAAAACTATGTTTTTACTTTGAATATACGACATCTACTTAAGCCGTCAAAAAAAAGTCATAATGACATATTTATAAACAGGTCTCAGAAAAGACGTCTTTTAGCCTTGATCTAGACTTTTTTTAATGCGTCTTTTAGACTATTTATTATGCGTCTTTTAAACGTCTTTTTAAACTTTAAAAAGACGCATTTTAAACGTCATTTTAAAATTGCATTTATTAAAGACGTATAGAAGATGTTTTAAAAAAAGATATCTTCTAGACGTTTTTTTAACGCTTAAATAGACGCCTTTCAAACGTCATTTTAAAAACGCCTTTATAAAAGACGTCTAGAAGATGTCTTAAAAATTGACGTCTTCTAGACGTCTTTTTATCTTTTAAAAAGACGCCTTTTAAACGTCATTTTAAAAACGCATTCATAAAAGACGTCTAAAAGATGTCTTCAAAACGTCTATAAAAGTGCGTCTTTACTTAGACTAGTTTTAGACGTCTATAAGTGTCTAAAATGCGTCTTGTGCTTACTGGGATATGTCAACTTTAGAATCAAGGCTATCTACATCTGCAGTATCAAACAAATCTAACCAGTCGGAAAGTAATGATAAACATTGTTTAAGCTTTATTAGCGATTCTTCTTATTTTTCAATTTCTTATTAAACTGCAATGATGATGCAACCCAGCAAACAAAAAGACATCTTTAAGCTGTCTTAAAGACGTCTTTTCAAGATTAACAAAAACGTCTTAAAGATATCTTAAAAAGGTCTACGTTGTCCGTCGAAAAGACGTCATACTTAAGATTGCTTAAATACGTCTTACTTAAGACTGGATTAAAACGTCTTATGTAAACGGCCTAAAAACGTTTTATTTAAGATATTTTAAAGATGTCTTAAAAAGGTCTACGTTGTCCGTCGAAAAGGCGTCATACTCAAGATTGTTTAAAGACGTCTTACTAAAGACTGGTTTAAAACGTCTTATTTAAACGGCCTAAAGACGTTTTATTCAAGACATCTTTTAGGCGTTTAGTTTAAATAAAAACTAGTGTCTTAAAGACGTCTTAAAATAGCTAAGTAAATAAAAGACGTCTTAAAATAGCTAAAAATAAGTTAGCTGGATTGTATTTTTCTATATAACAACTTATACAGCATATAACATATATACAACAAAAACAATAAAAAATAATAATTCATTTTAGTTTGTATTTTTCCGCGATGGAGCATTTTTTCAAAAATCGTCCAATTTGCTGTTTAGTATCAGCGTTTGAAACTTTTTCAAACTTTCTTTTTACAACTTCTAAAAATCAAATAAAATTTACAGATAAAATAGTAAGATGTAAACTAGCCAAATAATTTTGTCAAACAAAAATCTTGAAAATAATTTTAATTTAACACAGATATTTAATTAAATACTAAATAATATTAAAAAATATTAATATGTTAAAAATCTTTTTTATTACCTTCTATTACATTATATTGTTTGGTTGATGATAAAACAATCTTTCCAAAAGAACCTTTTAAGTTGAATTGTGTCAATAGGGTATTTATAAATAATCTATAACACATAATGAATAAACATAATTTATGAAAAATAAGCAATTTACCATCCCAACGGGCATTTTTTATATATCTTACGTTCTGAATGTATTTTAAGAAAGTATTTAGTATTTTACATGTATTTTAGAAACATTAAAGATTTTTTTCTTTAAAAAAGAAGCAAATAATTTAATAAGGTACATAAAATACAGCTAGTTGGATTGTTAATTAATATCTTTCTATATAACAATTTACACAAAATAAAAAAGATTTCTATATGAAAATTTACAGAAAAAAATAAAAAAGAATAATTCGTTTTATTTATTTTTTTCCCGCGAAGGAGCATTTTTACAAAAACGTCCAATTTGCTCTTTAATTTCAGCATTTGAAACCTTTTCAAACCTTCTTTTTACTACTTCTAAAAATCAAATAAAGCATAATGTAGGATGTATTCGTCAAATATATTGAAAAAAACTTAACATAGATTTTTAAATTAAATTAAAAGTGCAATAATTAAAATTTATTTTTGACCTTCTATTACATCATATAGTTTGGTTGAATGTAAACCAATCTTTCCGCCAGAACCTTTTAAGTTGAACTGTGTCAACAGGGTATTTGTAAATAATCTTTAAAATATATCAAATACACAGTAAAATTTATGAAAAATATTAAACAATTTACCATTATTGATTTCCAAAATTACTAAACCTAAAAAAAATTGACAACAAAAAAGTACAAATATGATAGCCATTCAAAAAAATAATACTAAAACCTATTCATGACCAATCTTGTCAGTTGTTTAAAATCTTCGGCACATAAAAAACTGAGTTGTTTAACCTAAACAAAAGTTAGAAAAAATAATTATAATACAATAACTATTTTTATTTTTTAATTTATATAGATAAACTATTTACCAAATCAAGTCTAACACAATCATCCACTAAACTTTTGTTAAAGTCCTCAAACTCTGCAATTGTTTCTAACTGCTTGATTGCAATATTACTTTGTGGTTGCTTGTTTAATGCTAAAATAAGCTCTTGCTTTTCAAGAACCTTTGAAAGCATCTTGAACATCATGTGCTGGTATTCTAAATTATATGAAGAAAATGAAAAAAGGAATATATTGAATGCAAAATATTTATTTACACAATTTCAAAAATATCTATAGCTATTGTTTTTATTCCTAAAATAATCCAAGTACAAAAAATATTATTTTGTTTCCTCCAATATGAAAAATCAAATAAATACTTAAGGACTTACTTCCAACTTCCATAGGAAATTGATTTTTAACTAACTTCTCTGGTACAAGCGCAGTTTTTTGTACGTCTGTTTTCAGAAGCTTTTTTTTGGATTCTTGAGATTCGGGAGATAAAACTAAAGCAAAAAAAATATATATATACATAAATGTATATATACATATTTATATATATAAATATATATATATATATATATATATATATATATATACATATATATACATATAAATATATATACATATATATAAATATATATACATATATATATATATACATGTATATATGCATATAAATATATATATATATATATATATATATATATATATATATATATATATACATATAAATATATATATACATATATATAAATATATATACATATATATATATATATATATATATATATATATATATATATATACATGTATATATGCATATAAATATATATATATATATATATATATACATATATATATGCATATAAATATATATATACATATATATAAATATATATACATATATATATATATATATATATATATATATATATATATATATATATATATATATATATATATACATGTATATATGCATATAAATATATATATATATATATATATATATACATATATATACATATAAATATATATATACATATACATATATATAAATATATATACATATATATATACATGTATATATACATTTAAATATATATATATACATATATATATATAAATACACATGTATATATATATACATATAAATGTATATATATATATATATATATATATATATATATATATATATATATATATATATATATATATATATATATATATATATATATATTTATATATATATATATTTATATATATATATATATATATATGTATATATATGTATGTATTTGCTGCATTTTTCTCTGACATATTTTTATTAAAACCCTCCCCAAAATCACAAAAGTTAGGAGAAGAAACTCATGGTTTTCTAATATAGAGACTTAAAATAAAAACATAAAAATTTTTTATATACGTTGTCTACAGAATGTATACTATAGGAAGCACAATTACATGTTGTCTACAAGCTGATTTTGAAGGAAAACAAATTTGTTATCAAAATACAAAAAACTAATACAATTTTCAAAAGTAGAAATTTTAGATAAAAACTATCAGATATCGACAGGGTTAAGTCCAGGGTTAGGTTTAGGACAATGTACCCAAACAAAAATTTGATTGTTCCATTCCAGTTGTGAAGGTAAAAAACTTAGGCAAAGCTAAAATTAACAATAAAAGAATATTCAACTTTAATAAAGAAAAAATTTAGATAAAAAAATTCAAAACATACATAATGTACCAGAATAAGATGTTGATTGTTCCTCTGTAATTGAATGTTGAGGTAAAAAAGTGTCTGACAAAGCTAAAAACATTAAGCAATATTTTAGATTGAATAAAAAAATAAATTTTGAAAAAAATTTAAATTTAATAGACAAAGTCTACACACAACACAGATTTGATTGTTTGAAAGAAGTAGAACCAGGAGATAAACTAAAGTCAAAGGATCTCTTTAATGGATTTTTCTCCACAGATTTAAAAACTGGTGGAGGCAAAGGAAAATCAGGTAACTCTAAAATATAATAATTTTATTATTTATTTTTCATATAGTATTTAAAGAAGTATATCAATTTACAATATAGAATTCATATTAAAAAAAGAAAAAGAAATAGTAAACAAGAATATAATTATATAATCCAAATACACAATTAACATTACTTTTCCATTTAAAGGCACTTTTGGAAACACAAATATCTACTAAATCTTCCTCCTCTGCTGCAGTGGTATAACAATATTCTTTCAGCTCCTCCATATTATCTAAAAAAATAAAAGCTATTATAAATCCAATATAAACATCAGATATTTTTGGCAGTTTTTTACATCATTTATATTGCCAGTATATAATGTATGCTTGTGTGTGAAAATTTCATACCACTTTCAAATTTAATTTTAATAAGTTTATATTTGTTCCATGTTTCATCCACATCCATTTCTTCTTTAACAGCTCTTCGATAAGATACACCTGCAGGCCAGAATAACAATTTTTTATATATATATATATATATATATATATATATATATATATATATATATATATATATATATATATATATATTTATATATATATATATTTATATATATATATATATATATGTATATATATGTATGTATTTGCTGCATTTTTCTCTGACATATTTTTATTAAAACCCTCCCCAAAATCACAAAAGTTAGGAGAAGAAACTCATGGTTTTCTAATATAGAGACTTAAAATAAAAACATAAAAATTTTTTATATACGTTGTCTACAGAATGTATACTATAGGAAGCACAATTACATGTTGTCTACAAGCTGATTTTGAAGGAAAACAAATTTGTTATCAAAATACAAAAAACTAATACAATTTTCAAAAGTAGAAATTTTAGATAAAAACTATCAGATATCGACAGGGTTAAGTCCAGGGTTAGGTTTAGGACAATGTACCCAAACAAAAATTTGATTGTTCCATTCCAGTTGTGAAGGTAAAAAACTTAGGCAAAGCTAAAATTAACAATAAAAGAATATTCAACTTTAATAAAGAAAAAATTTAGATAAAAAAATTCAAAACATACATAATGTACCAGAATAAGATGTTGATTGTTCCTCTGTAATTGAATGTTGAGGTAAAAAAGTGTCTGACAAAGCTAAAAACATTAAGCAATATTTTAGATTGAATAAAAAAATAAATTTTGAAAAAAATTTAAATTTAATAGACAAAGTCTACACACAACACAGATTTGATTGTTTGAAAGAAGTAGAACCAGGAGATAAACTAAAGTCAAAGGATCTCTTTAATGGATTTTTCTCCACAGATTTAAAAACTGGTGGAGGCAAAGGAAAATCAGGTAACTCTAAAATATAATAATTTTATTATTTATTTTTCATATAGTATTTAAAGAAGTATATCAATTTACAATATAGAATTCATATTAAAAAAAGAAAAAGAAATAGTAAACAAGAATATAATTATATAATCCAAATACACAATTAACATTACTTTTCCATTTAAAGGCACTTTTGGAAACACAAATATCTACTAAATCTTCCTCCTCTGCTGCAGTGGTATAACAATATTCTTTCAGCTCCTCCATATTATCTAAAAAAATAAAAGCTATTATAAATCCAATATAAACATCAGATATTTTTGGCAGTTTTTTACATCATTTATATTGCCAGTATATAATGTATGCTTGTGTGTGAAAATTTCATACCACTTTCAAATTTAATTTTAATAAGTTTATATTTGTTCCATGTTTCATCCACATCCATTTCTTCTTTAACAGCTCTTCGATAAGATACACCTGCAGGCCAGAATAACAATTTTTTTTCTGTATCTATCCACTTTCTAGGCACAACATCTTCTATTTCCTCATAATTCTCTATCCAAACTGCTCTTGCCCAAATCATGGTGTAAAACTAAATCATAGTGTAAAAATTACATTAAGGTTTAAACTAAAAAAACTTTAAAACCTAAAAAATAGTCCTTACAATAAGTTGGAATAACAGTAATAAGTTTCAATAACAAAAAGATAACTGTCTTTTAATTTATAAAGCAACAAAAAGAAATTAAAAAAATCATTAGGTTAATAACTATGGTGATAATGATGAGGAAGAGCGCTAATTTGTCTCAAGAAATTTACAAAACAAAGAAAAAAAAAATATTAAAAAAAAGGTATTAAAATAACTGTCTGGGCTGTTTAAATTTTTTAATTTTTGTAAGCAACAGAAGCAATGTTATAGAAATTAAATTTCTTAGACAAATGATTTTCATTTTACCTCATTTTTATTTTAAGTTTTTAATTTATTTACTGATTTTAAATGATTAATTTTTTTTAAGTTCAAAAAACTTTCAATAATAGCATTAAAATAAATTTTTAAATGAAGCACAATAATCTCAATCAAAGATGATCTTTTTCTTTAAAATTATAACCTTGTAACAAACAAACAAGAGGAATAAATTAAAATTAAAGTATAAAAAGAAAAAATTATGAATCACTATTAACATATAACATAACATATAACATATATATAACATATATATATATATATATATATATATATATATATATATATATATATATATATATATATATATATATATATATATATATATATATATATATATATATATAATTTACAGTATAAGATTCGGTATTAAACTTTGGTCACAAGATGAAAATTAATAAAACAGGATAAACATAAAATATTTCAACAAAAGTAATTTCTATTTAAAAAGATTTCAATTAATGTTCTATTTCATGCAACAAAGGAAAGCAAACAAGACCTTCCTTCCAAGGGAGAACAACAACTTTTCGAAGAAGACTTTCCATTCCTAACTCAACCACTTTTACTTGAATTTCATCAATATTTGGTATAAAGAAAATTTTAAAGGTTTTAGACGCAATAGGCTGTGTATATAAATCATTTTGTAAATCTAATCTAAACATTCACATTTAAAAAAACCAGATGATAATTTCTCATCAACAAAACAAAATTGATTTTCTTCTATGTAAAAACATGAATTATTCTGCTTACTTGAAATTTTAAGTTTTCGAGGTTTTGTATTTAATAAAGATTGTATTCGTTCATATTGTTTGGCTATTTGAACAACAGGACTCTTTGAATTTTTTACTGCTTTTTTTAATGTCTGCATAAAATTTTCAAAGGGAAAACAGGAAATGTCATTTAGTGAACAATCAAATTTAACAACATCATCGCAAATATGAAGTAAAGAGTGAACATTGTAAACACAGAATGATTTTGTATATAAATATTTTGAATTTATAACAAAATAATTTAATAGTTCTCTAGCGAATGTAAGATAATGCTTTCTAAATCGATTGTCCTCATTTAAGAGAATCACCATTGCAACATGCAATGTTAAAAAATGATTGTAAATTTCTTTACTAACAACACCCTTTAAAACTAAGGGTCCAGTGTATAAAATAAATTGTCTAAATTCTGTAGCTTTCCATCGATCTAACTCCAAAAGGGAACGTGGTTGTCGAGCAAATTCAGATGGCATCATGCCACGTAAGCTTAACAGATTATCAGATATATTCTTTATTTGGGCATTTGAAAGTCTACAATGTTTTGGACCTGACTTTAAAAAGGTAAGTATGCGTCTTACTACACCAAGACAAACCATGTGCATATAATCCAAAACAAAATCAGAAATGCAAGATATTTCAAGTTGAGCTAAAGGAGTAAGAGATTTTTGATGTTGAGTGTACACAAAAGTATTAAACTCTTCAGTTAATCTCGGAGTTGATGGCTTGTTATCAATAAAAACAACTCTATGTTCTTCGTATAATCCTTTAACTTGGCATCGTTCACATGAGTAATATCCTGTATGACCTTGTATACATTTAAGAAAACAGCGAGAAGGTGCATCACATATGAATGCTTTTAGTGTAACTTTAAATTTGTTATTATTATAATAAAAACCTTCATTAGTTAACAATAAAAATTTTTTAATAAAATCATTAAGAAAATCATCTAAGCAGTTGGGTTTAGCATCTCCACAGAAAAGTGCAATAATGAAAATATAGTTCTCTATTAGACCAAGAATTGGCCATAGTTGAAGATTAGAAGATTTAAAAAGAGGTAGTCCATCAACATTAATAGTAATAGATAATTCGGTACTTTAAAAAGCATTTTTTGTATTCATAAAATAATTTAAGCTATCAGCAATAGTAAAATACGCATAAGTTCCACCACACTTCTTATGTACTTTAACAACTTTAAAGGGTTTTAAAAGGGTTCTTGCATCATTTGGCAACTCTGAATGACCATATTTTCTAAGAATCATTATAAGTTCGTTTAAAAGACTTTGAGAAATTTTGCTTTTCGTTGACCACACTGCCAAATCCTCTGATAATGTTTCTGTTGTCAACAATAGTGATGCATTATAACAATCATAGTTCTCATATCTAAAACTTGAAGATGAACTGGTTACTCCGCATTCTTTAAAATCATTATTTAGGGTTTCAAAAGGTACCAAAGGTACAAAAGGTATTTCAGGCTCAACATAAAAAGCATTAAGTTCAGGATTCAAATCAGGTGTACTAATATTATTAATTTCATCTTTTTCATCTTCAAATTTCATAATAAAATCCAATATACTTTTATTTAGGCGACGACGCTTCGTTCGATTTTCAGTTTCCATAATAATACTTTAATAAATCTTTTTGCTGGAATAATGGTTTAGAAAATTAATATTGGTTGAAGTAAAACTTAACTTTATATAAAAAAAACTTTTTGTTGCCGTGAAAAATTTCGCGTCTTTAAAAAGATAGTTAAAAGTCTTTTTTAATGACGTCTTTAATAGGATTGTAAAAATGTTTAAACAAATCCATAAATAGACGTAATAAAGACGTCTTACAAAGACGCGAAATATTTTTACGACCAAAAAGTTTTTTGAAGACGTCTATAAGACGTACATATGATAGGTTAGATTAGCCAAAAAAAAGGGTATATCAGTATACGTTAATTAGACGTCTTTAAAACGTCAATCAAAGACAAGACCATTTAAAGACCCAATTAAGACGGTCTTAAAGACGTCTTGTGTTTGCTGGGAAAGGCAAACTTTCATTTTTAAATTATTTACTAAAACAACAAGTAAGCAGGAGAATGAACTGAATTTGCAAGTTGCAAGGTTTTTTTCAATATAAATACCATTTAACATAGTAAAAACTTTTGACTTGACTACCAAGCTGTCTAAAATATTTAGACCTGAGTGCGAGCCCCTAAATAGAAAACAGATATCTTTAGTAAAATTCATAGTAAAACTAAATGAAGATGTAATAAATATAATTGTAAATGATCTTAATGATGTTTGTGATGTTATCCTAATTCAAGATGATTGAAGTACAGTAATAGTTTCATTATTGCTCATAGCATCCAAGACAATTCAACGATAATATTTTAAAGAAGTTTTCAAAAAGCAATGTATTTATATCATTTTCTGACCAATTTAACAGATCCAAAAATATAACTAAAAATAATAAAGGTAACTGGTAACTTGCATTTGATTAAAGCAAAATAAATACAGACAAAAAATTTTCTTTTAAGTTAACTGCTCTTATAACTTATTTACTTAGAAATAACATTGGATAGAAGTGAAGAAGAAGATAATTTAGTTATTAAGTTATTAATATGTATTTTATAATATCATTGTTGATATTACATGCGTACAATTTAAAACCAAAGTCAAAAAATATCAATATTAAAAAATAAGGTTGATGTATAACAATAAAACCATTTTTTGCATTTATATGTAAACACTTGACATTTATATCTGACAGTGCAACCATCAAGTAAATTTTGTAATTATTTTTTCAATTATCAGTTTAAACCTTTTGGGAACTTTATGGGAAACCCATCAAATCCCCAAATATCTCGGCCCTGATAAAGACCAGATAAAACCCAATCAAGCAAGTTAAATTGTTTTCCTTTATGCGGACTATCCCGAAACCAAAACACTTACCCGTCAGAATCCCATTCCCGCAATCCCAGACAAAAACCATCCGGTACCCGTCTGTCAATTTATTTTTATCAGCGTTTTTATTCTCCATTATGGGTTGCCTTTACTACGGCTAAAGAACCATAGTAAATGCCCTGAAGACAAACCCTGATTACATCCAACTTGAGGCTCGAAATAAATCTTTACCCAGAGATCACAAAATTCAAATGAGCATAAGATTAAAATCTAATGAATGAATTAGCCAGGATAGAATGCATATATTTTTTTTAGTTATGGAACACTAAAACGAAGTATTTTTAATATACAACACTAAAAAAATGAACATAAAAATTAATCGGTGATTAAATAACTTGAAATTTAATTTTTTTTATCATATAAAAAAATTAATATCATATTAATTTTTTTCTATAATAAACAAAATTATACTTTATAATAAAAAAGAGTTTCTATTTTGGCATACTGCAGTAAACGTACAGTGAATATAAGTTTACTAACTAAATTTTAAAAACAATTATAAATAACATTTGTTATTCAAGTATAAGGGTTGGTTTCATTAAAATATGATATGTCAACAAACGTGACATTGGAGGATTTTAAAGTTTTTTTAGGCAAATAACTACTATAAGAGTTTTAATATAACATATTGTTATTATTATTATTGTTATTATTATTATCTAAGGGTAAAATTTTACAAAAAGAATATTTAGTTATATAAAATAAGCCTATAAACCTTTTGTTCTGTTGTATCTACTTGTGTCGGTCTAATCCTTTATATAAACTTGCACATTTTATGTTACCAATATGCATCTGGATATTTTTTAAACGTTGTGACCGATAATGAATATACTATTTCAGATGGTAAACTATTCTACAAATATGTGAATTGCATACTGAAAAAGTTTTCCTGGACATCTGTTTTACAAAACATTTTTTAAATTTATTAGCGTGACGGCAGGTATACATTTATAAAGATTGTGAATGCATTTGCAAGTTTCTGCCATGTTTTTTCTTAAGAAACGATAGCTCATGCTTATTAAATTTAGTCTCAGTAGTCTTTGGTTTGGTGAGTCCAGTCAGGCCAAAAACAAATTTACTTAACCTGCTAATAAATATTTTCAATTAATTGATGATCTTTTTATAGCTTAGGATAGTAAATAGAACGCAAGAATCAAGGTGAGTATGAACAAGGAAAATAATCAAAGTACAGAAATGTCAAGATATTGAGATTGATAAATGATTTTTTAATCATCCAGCAATTTAATCTACAGTATTATTCTTTGTATTTTCAAAATAAGAAAAAAATCAAATTACTGTCAACGACGATCCCAAAGCCGAGAGAGTTTTTAAGAGAGAGTTTTTAAGATTAATTGAAGTATTGAGATTTATATCGACAAGTATATATATGAATTTTGTGTTTATTGGTCCTAAGGGCAAAATTTTTTAATTTTTTTACATCAAAACTTAGTTTTCATATTTTTGCCTAGTTTGCTATAATGTCCATATCTTCTTGCAGGTTATTGTATATTGAGCTATCAAAAAAGCAAACTATATAATATAGATCAAACTATAAAATAGATAATAATAGTATCATTTGCAAATACAGATACAACATTTAAAACCAAATCAAAACAATCGTTAACATATATCATAAAAGTAAATACTGAGAGACTTCACTATTATTCATTCTGAATATATACCATCAACACTGATACTTTGCTGTCAATCTCTTAGGTAACGTTCAATCCAATTGTATAATTTGTCATCTACTCTATAAGCTTTTAATTTTAGAAGTAGAAGATAAATGTGAAATATATCGAAAGCTTTCGATATATTTAGATGTAAGTTTTCTATATTAGTTTTATTTTTTAAGGCTAATGACTAAGCTTCAATCCTCACTAAAGTAAAAAGTTCAAAATTTCGCTTTATAATTATTATGTTGAAATAGTAGATTTATTATTAGGTGGTTTAGTGCCATAACTTATTTTCTCAGTATATTAATCAGGCTCTTTATTGTAGATCATAATAACAGAGAAGATCCTCACTTTTAAACTTTAGCATACTTTTCTCTTCTCTTTTTTGGATTGAACTATATAATTGAATAACTTCAATTTTATTAAATACTAGAAATTGCTTTTGTCATGGACTAAAACTAATTCAGTGTCTACGTCATGGATTAGTTTTAGTCCATGACGTATATATATATATATATATATATATATATATATATATATATATGTATATATATATATATATATATATATATATATGTTTATATATATATATATATATATATATATATATATATATATATATATATATATATATATATATATATATATATATATATATATATATATATATATATTATACATTAAAAATCAATAATATATTATTGATTTTTAATGTATAAATTTTATTTATACATTAAACATCAATAATATATTGACATATTTTATATATATATATATATATATATATATATATATATATATATATATATATATATATATATATATATATATATATATATATATATATATGTATATATATATATATATATGTATATATATATATATATATATATATATATATATATATATATGTTATATATATATATATATATATATATATATATATATATATATATATATATATATATATATATATATATATATATATATATATATATATATATATTATACATTAAAAATCAATAATATATTATTGATTTTTAATGTATAAATTTTATTTATACATTAAACATCAATAATATATTGACATATTTTTTATTATTCACTACTACATCATTGAGTTTGGTTGATGATAGGCTATTTTCTACCAGAACTTTTTGATTTAAACTGTGTTAATTGGGTATTTATAAATAATCTGTTAAACATAATGAACAAATATTAAAATTATTACTACTATTGGATGCAATACCCACTACACTTAAAGAATATTTATTTATTACAAAA